TTGTGCCCATCTTTATTCTCTTTGTGCCCACCTTGGCTCACTTCGTACCCACCTTGGCTCACTTCGTATCCACCTTGGCTCACTTTGTATCCACCTTGGCTCACTTTGTGCCCATCTTTATTCTCTTTGTGCCCACCTTGGCTCACTTCGTACCCACCTCGGCTCACTTCGTACCCACTTTGTCTTCTGAATAACTCCACATCTAAAGTCAGAAGAAATGTGAAAATGTAGTTCTATAGAAACCAGGAACTGATATTCAAAATTACTGCAAAGCTGGGAGGACTGCCCTATTGGAAAGAAGATTCAGTGTGTGTCACTGATGGAGGCAAATAATCCAGATGCAAGAAGATACAGAGTTGTGAGAATTTTTTTCTACTGGCTCTGGAGCCACATGAGTAACTCTTTTTGMCGTTGAGACAAAAAGAAAGTGTTTAATCAATTATTTGTTATATTAAACCTTTTTACTGCACAGTTATGTTGGATGTGGATGTGATACTTTAATATCAAATAAAAACATTTTTGGTCATTTATCAAGCAGGACATGCATCACGGCGCACAGGTGAGTGTTTGACTGAAAGGGTACAGAGAGATACGCTCTCATTGTCTCTGTCTTAAAGAGGTCACAGAAAAACACAATCACAYTCATCATGAGTATTGCCAGCAGGCAAATATTGTAATGCAGTCTGCATTTAGAGAAAGATTCATAAATTAAAAAAACTCTTGTCACAGTTTTGAATATCAACTTATTTATTTATTATTTACTTATTTGTATTAAAGTGGGCTAGTTTTAATTTGATGATTTTCACACACAGAGCAGAGAAGAGCAGATAACAGAGGAACAATGACCCTAACCAGCTTGCTCCCCCGTTTCAAACGTACTTAATACAGACAATGAAACAGGAGCAACCAGTTCAGGTTTGATAAACCACTGTGGGTGTAAAATGATTATTTCTGCATATCCTCCACCCAGTATTTTGCGTGATCTGCTAATCCTCATATAATTTGCATCTTCATGAAGACAGACTCACTGAATGGATTAAAGCTGCTGTTTTAATCTGGCAGATGCAGTCCTTGCTGCGCACCGTTAATAAATCAGGTTTGTGTGTCTTATTAAACACGCTAACCTTTAATAAATTAGCTCACATGAGTTGAGTTTAAAGGCCTCCAAACTTCCCAGAGACCAGATGAATCCAGTCCACAAGGCCCAAAGGATCTGTTGCTACTCCAGGACACCTTGAGATGTTTGGTGTGTTTATAGCGGGTAAAATAAGTATTGAACACGTCACCATTTTTCTCAGTAAATATATTACTAGAGGTGCTAATGAGTTGAGTTTAAAGGCCTCCAAACTTCCCAG